ATGACATCCATTGTCACTTGTTTTGTTAATGTTAATTTTTTTACATGTTGGACAATAAATGTTTTAATTCCTAATTGTTTAATAATTTTAAATGGACCTTCATATCGTATATCAAATTTATCTCTAATATTTCTTGTTTTTATTAAAACTACATCATTTTATTTCAATGATAAATTTTGTCTATTCAAATCATATCGAGTCTTGTATTGCTGTTGATTTTTTATAATATTGTTTCGAGCTTCATGTACTAATTTTTCAAGATAAATTCTAATTTTTTCGCCATGCTCTGAATCTTGTGTGAGCGAAATTATTTCCTTTTGTTGGTCGAATGGAAGAATAGCTTGTCGTCCATGCATCATTTCAAATGGTGTTTGTTTTGTTGTTGCGTGTATTGATGTATTGTAATTAAATGTAACATATTGTAGTACTTCATCCCAATTTGTACGTCGTTCATTACATAACGCTGCAATTTTACCGTCCATTGTAGCATTAAATCGTTCGATTTGTCCATTTGTTTGGGGATGATACACTGTAGAATATAAATGAGTAATCCCAAGGTGTTGAAGCAAATTGTTCATAATTTGAGCAGTAAAATGAGTACCATTATCAGTTAAAATACATGTTGGAGTTCCATATTTTAAAATAACATCATTGATAAGAAATTTTACAGCTGTTGTTGCTGAACAATCCCGAACAGCTTTTGCAACTACAAATTTTGATAATATATCTGTCAGAGATATAATATATCTATTTCCTTGTTTGGATGTTGGAGCTATCGGTCCATGAAAATCCATACTTAATAATTTCCAAATTCCTTCTGGTGGTTTTATTGGTTTTAATGCTCCTGGTAATTTTTGACGATGATGATTGTTTTGTGCACATGGTAGACATGAATTTAAGTGATTTCTAATATCAGTTATCATTGTTGGCCAATGATAACGTTCTTGAATTTTTCTTGTTGTTTTATCACGCCCAAAATGAGCTCCATTACCGGGTGTGTCATGATAAATTTTTAATATATCAGTACGTATTCGTCCGGCTGGAACAAATGGTATTGATGAAAGTGGCAGCTGTTGTTTTCTAAATAGTATACCATTTTCAATAAAATAATTTTTCTTACTTCGACTTTTCTTTTTTATGTCTTGTACTATCTTATCTTTTTCTTGCCTTTGTCTTAAATCATTCATATCGAATGGAATGATTTTATTTGGATTTTCGTCCAGTGGATCCGACATCGATTCTTTATCAATCGCTGCTTTCCCTTGTGGGATGAGCTCCTTTATTTTTCCATCGGTTGCTGTGTTGGATGGTGTTGCTGTTGTTTGTTGTTGTAATTTGGGTTGAGCTCAAGTAATTGCTGTTGTTATTTTTAATGGAATTGACTTGTCTAATGATGGTAATGGCAAATCTGTGTGTGTGAATTTTGATTCATATGGAATTCTTTCGTCAATATCTTCTTCAGCTGCTTCAACTGGTGATCTTGAAAGATAATCTGTCATATTGTTTTTGTTTCCTTGTATGTGTTTCACCTTGAATCTATATTCAGCTAATTTCAATTGCCTCGATTGCATCTTTTGTTTAATTGTTCCTTGTTGGGCAAATTTACTAATGGTTCATGATCAGTTTCTAATATAAACTCATGTCAACGAAGATATTTGTCCCATTTGTCGATTGCTTGTACTATTGCATAACATTCTTGTTCAATTGGTGGCCAATTGGTTTGAGTTTTTGTTAATTTCTTAGACATAAATACCAATGGTCGATCTTCATCAGGAGTAACTTGAGGTAGTACGGCTCCAATACCGTCTACACAGGCATCTGTTTGTAATTTGAATGACAATGTATCATCTGGTAAACCTAGAATGAGATCAGTTGTTAATATGTTTTTTTATTTTATGAAATGCTTCTCTGGCTTCATCTGATAATTCGAATTTTGATCTCTTGTTTGTTTTCTGTTGGTTTAATGTTGTTGGTGAATATTTGTGTAACGGTGCGGCGATTGTGGAGAATTTTGGGATGAATTTTCGATAATATTCTGCTGCTTTGACGAATCTGAAAGCTTCTTCAGCTGATGTTGGTTCACGTGTTTCTGTTAGACCACGAATGTTGTCTGGATCTGGTTTAATAGTACCTGCTTTGATTACATGACCAAGAAATAATATTTCCGTTCGAGCTATTTCACATTTATCAACATTTTATTTAAAATTTGACTCATGTAATAATGCACATACTTCTTCAATATGTCGTATGTGTTCACTAAAATTTGTTGAATAAATAATAATATCATCGATGTAGGCAAGTACATGTTTCCATCGGTTTGGACCTAATATTTGATTAACAATACGTTGAAAAGTTGGTGGTCCATTTGTAAGTCCTTGTGGTAATACCTTGAATTGAAAATGTCCATCTCGAGTGGAGAATGCTGTTTTCGGTCGATCTGCTTTATCTAATGGTACTTGAAAGTATCCTGATTTGAAATCAAATTTAGTAAAGTGTGTTGCTTTTGCTAACTGATCATAAATATCATCGATTCTTGGTAGAGAAAATGCATCTTTTGTTGTAATTTGGTTTAAACGACGATAATCTACACAAAATCTTGTTGTTCCATCTTTCTTTTTTACTAATACGACTGGTGATGACCACGGAGATGTCGAATGTTCAATAATACCATTTTTTAACAATTTCTTTGTTTAATGTTTCTTGATCCTTGTTGGACTTTCTATATGGTGGAGTATGAATTCGACGATGTGCACCAGTGTCGACAGCATTTTTTAATGTTATATCAATTTTTGATGGTTCACTAATGTCAAATAATTTTCCATATTTCCATAGTATTTTTAAAATTTGTTCTCGTTGTTTTTCATCGCTAATATGTTCGATTAATTTACTGATTTGCTGTCTTATCTCTTCTGGATAGCATTTGCTTCTGAGATGTTTAAACAAATCATTATTCGTTTCGAAATTTTGATGACATTCGCGACATTGATGTTGTTTCTTATGTAATGCTATAATCGAATTATTTTCGGTGTTAACTTCATTCAATGTAATCGCTCCTTTCCCTTTCGGAATGGGCCCCGTACACGCTTTTCCGTTTGGAATGCGTTCTTTTAAATTATTTGATGATATGGTAACGCCGATTGTAGCAGATATTTGTGTCGCTATGCCTAATTTTGTTCCTCTGGAAAGTGTTTGTTGTCGATTCGTTGCATTGATTATATTGATTTTGATTCTTCTATTTTCAATGTTGCATAATGCATTTGCCAAAAATAATGCTTTATTTTTTAATCGAGGACTTGGTTCAAATAATACATCTATCATTTTGTTTTGTTGAATTCTTGCTTCTACAATATATTCTGAAAAGGGAAGAAGAGTAATTTGATTAACGAGAGTACCTGGGTAATCCGAAAGGGTTGGGTTTACAAACGGGGTTGATACTTCTTTACCTTTACTTCGAATCATAATTCTTTTTTCTGGTGTTAAAATATAAACATTATTGCGTTGGATCCAATCACTACCTAATATTAAATTTGTAACTAAATTGGTTGCCACATCAGCAATCACTTCTGTCTTTAATCCATGAATATTAATTTCTAATGTTGTTTCACCAATCACATTTAATGTTGAACAATTTGCTGATAAATGATTTTTTGTTTTTTTCATTAAATTTTCATGTGGAATATTTTTTAATAAGCATTCATGTATAATAGTGATGGCCGATCCAGTATCTATAAGTGCTTCTTGTGGAGTGTTGCTACATATAATTTTTACAAAAATTGGATGGAATGTTTTTGTTGTTGATAATTTTTTTTCTCCACAGGGATCGTCCCCATCTTCCGATCCCCTTATTCGAAAAAATGTTGTTCAGGACAATCGCGTATTCGATGATTTGATTGTCCACATTTAAAACAGCCGTTGTCCTTCTTATAAAAACAGTTCATGGTTGAATGGTTTTTTCGATTGCAGATTAAGCATGACTCTGATCGGTGCATTTTTGTTTTCGGATAGGATGGTCGACTTGATTTGATAGTTGGATGTCGGATTTGTTTTTCATTCATACGATTATTATTAAATTTTGATGTGTGTTGATGTTGTTGCTGATAATAATGATGTGGTGTAATTGGTTGTTGACCTAATGGTTTGGCGTTCAATGATTTTGATTGAATCGTTGCTGTTTGCAGCATAGGTTCAAAGAATGGTTGGTTTGTTGTTTCAGAATAAAAATTATTACGTTGTTGTTGAATTCGTTTCTCTATGTATTCTTCTTGTCTTGCATATTGCAGCCACTCATCTGGTTTCGTGATATCTTTTTCATTTCGAATTAAATATTCTTTTAATGAATTTTTTACACCAGTTTGTAAAACTGTAATAACTTGTTGTTCGGTTATGCATTGTCGAGCTTTTCTGTATTTTCGAATAACATGTTCGTAAAATGATGTAACCGATTGATTTTCTTCTTGATGAATGTGAACGAATTCTTGCATTAATTGACTGTCAGATGTAAATTCTTTGAACCGGTCGCGTAATGCTTTTTCAGCATCGTTCCAATTAATGAATGATCTTAAATTTTCTTGATACCATCTCAATGCAGGTCCTGCTAATTTACCCATCGTTTCCAGAATTCTTGTTTCATCTTTTAATTTCATTAATGAGAATAAATTGTTTAAATCGTACAGCCATTCGTCTATATCAATTTCAGTAGATTCTCCTGAAAATTCAGTTATCTTCTTAATTGCTTCTTTTTGACTTGAATGAAGTTGACGAGTTTCCATTGAATTAGTTTCGATTTCTTGCATAAGTGACATGTTGCTGGTTTTTTTTTATTTCTGATTCTTGTTGGTGAATTTGTAATTATTTCATATGTTAAAAGATTCGCACCACTTTGTTTGATCGTGTTTCTAGTACCGGTCGCCGTTGTGGAAAAAAATGCACTTAAAAGAAGGACAAAATATTTTGACCTATATATGTGGAAGATACGTATATCTTCCACTAATAAATAAATTTTCTTCTTAAAAATAATACTTATAGTTTCTGTCTCTTTTCCAATATAAGATGGGATCGTAAATCACTCTTTCCGTTACGGATGAGTCAATTTTAATTATTAACTGGTTCTTCTTCGTTGGAGGAATTAGAAGAAGACCGGTCACGGCACCAATGTTAGCTCGCTTCGTCGAGCTTTACGTTTATTTTATCTCTATATTTAACACACACACCTCTGTATATATATCTAGAAAGAGAGAGAAGAAAGAGGAGAGAGGGAGAGAATAACAATAATAAAGACAGGGAGAAAAATGAGAGATACATTAGATACTGAAGAAGTGTAATCGAGGGGCCAGTGGTATCCTCCACCGTTAACAGTACCACGAAGTACTTCAAAGTGCTTCAAACTACCTCGACATACAAGGACATTTTTTAAAGTAAATTCTTTAAAATGCTAAATTGCCCAAAATTTCTTCTCGTTTCTTGCATTGATAATAAGAGTGTCTTGGCTTAGCTAGGAATTGGTAATTTCTTAAATCAAAAATTAGGAAGATTTTGAGGGTGTCCGGTTTCAAAAGAAAATATTAATTTCTTGTAATGTATCACAACAATATCTTCTCAGCTTACCAACCAAGGAGAATCATCCCGACAGTAGGATTCTATCGGATTCCTACTAGAGGTGTCAGCCGAAGGGTTGAACAGCGGCAGCGGGCAACAATTTTCAATTTTTAAAGATTCCCAGCGGCTCGTTATTTGAATGAGTAATGTCTTCAGCGGCGGCTGCTACAAATTCTTAAATTTTTTTCCACAGCGGCGGCGCCGGTTGATATTTGCAAGTCCTTATGAGACGGCGGTGGCTCAGCCGCACGGCTGACACCTATAATTCCGACAGGGGTCAGACAGTGAATATACCGAATACCATATATGTTTCAATAAAACCGACGAAATCTTATGGGATTCTTGGACACGGACCTACATTCGGATCCTTGGTATTGGATCCGATCGGATCCGATGTCGGATTTAAACGGAATTCAACTCTATTGAATCACCCTTGCGCTCGGATGGCTCAAAATGGTTATTTGATCGTGAATAAGAAAATGATTTTTTCCGTCGGAACCGACAATAGGCCCATGTCCAGGAATCCTATCGGATTCTGTTAGGGAGTCGGATCCCATAGGATTCGATAAGATCCGTTGTTGGATTCATTCACCTGGGTAGGAGGCAGATTCAATACTATTGGACATGTTCTAGTGTCTGAATGAAAGCCTATCCAAGGGTAAAACGTTGTACTTTTCTACTTTGAACTATACAACTAAGTACAAAAGTATTTCGAAGTACCTCAAAGTACTTCAAAGTATTCCAAAGTACTTGAAGTACAAAAATACCATGTTCCCCCCTTGGCCAGAGGTGATTAAGGAAACACGTCTTCCTCTTACTTTTGAAATATACTGATGACATTCGTCCATATCAACAAATGTTAGAACATCCTTCATGATACTTCGAAGTTGTAAAGCGACATTTTTACAGTCATAATCTTCATTTACGTGATAGTCATGCCAGATAATGACTCTGTCTTCATTTTGTCTGATAAAATAGCAGCTTTTTGTGTTGACATGGTAACCAACGGTAGCTGATCTATGAAATGAATATCTTATGTCGCTTCCCAAAAGTAGAATGTACTTTTTACACAAACAATTAAAAAATTCCCCGATTAAGTCGATGTATTGGCTGCATTTTCACTTGTTGACTCGAAAACAACAAACTTTAACTTTATTTTTCTTTAACGTTAATTATACACAGCTGTTTTGTGGAACTCACGTATATTTTCGAAGAAAATAATGAGTGTGAGTTTTAAATTCAAGGTGTCGCGGGGGGGGGGGGGGGGGGGGGGGGGGGGGGGGGGGGGGGGGGGGGGGGGGGGGGGGGGGGGGGGGGGGGGGGGGGGG